TCTAAATTTCTTGTGGAATTAAGCAGTGAATCTGTCAGGGCCTGGGCTTTTCTTTGTTGATAGATGTTTAATTACATCTTCAATTTCATTGACTGGTATTGGATATTTAGAAATTTTATATCATCTTGATTCAGCTTTGATAATTCATATGTATCTAGAAACCTGTCCATTTCTTCTGTGTTTTCTATCTTATTAGAATAAAAGTTCTCAAAATAGGCATTGATGATCTTCTGGATTTCTGAAAGATCTGTTGTGATTTTACCTGTTTCATTTCTAATTGCCTGAATTTGTAGACTTTCCTTTTTGATAAGGTTGGCCAAGAGTTTAATCAATTTTATTTAATTTTTCAAGGAACCAACCTTATTCATTAATTTTTATATTGTTTTTGTAGTCTTCATTGCATTAATTTCTGCTCTGATCTTTACAGTTTCCTCCCTTGTACAAGCTTTAGACTTGACTTGCCCTTCTTTTTCTATAAGTCTGAAGTTCAAAATTAGTTTGTTTATATGAGCTTTCTATGCTTTCTTGATGTGAGAGTGCACTGCTATAAATTTCCCTAGTAAGATTGCTTTCCTTGTATCTTATGGGTTCTAGTATGTTGTATTGGAATTTTTGTTTAATTATAAAAAATGTCTAATTTCCACTTTAATTTCATCTGTGACCCATTGGTTGTTCAGAAGGGTGTTGTTTAATTTCCAAGTTTATGAAATTTTTGTGGTTTCTTCTGCCATTGATTTCCAATTTCAATGCACTATGGTCTGATGATATACATGGGGTAGTTTCAATTCATTTGCATTTACTTAAGCATGTTCTGTGAACCAGTATATTGTCTATTTTGGAGACTGTCCCATGTGCAGCTGAAAAAAAGGTGTATTCTGATGCTGTGGGGTGAAACAGTGTATAGATATCTACTAAATCTATTTCTTCAAAAGTTTGTTTCACTTATGATATTTCTTTGTTGATTTTTTGTCTAGTTGATCTGTCTATTTTTGAAAGTGAGATATTAAGATCCTCCATTATAATTGTATTAGTGCTTATTTGACTTTTTATGTCTGTTAATATTTGTTTTATCTATTTTGTTGTACTTGTGTTTGGTGTATATATATTTAAGATTGTTATCACTTCCTCTTGAGTTGTTCCATATACAAGGATGTAGTGACCTCCTTTGTCTCTTTTGATCAGTCTTGGCTTGAAGTTCACTTTGTTTGCAAATAAAGTAGCTGCCTCTGCTTTTTCTCCAGGTTCTTGTCACATGGAGTATTGTTTTCCATCTTCTGACTTTCAGTCTCTGAATTTCTTTTTTAATTAAGGATGTTTCTTGTATGCAACACATTGTTAGATCTTGCTTCTTGATCCATTCTTCCAGTCTGTTTTCTTTACTGGTGAATTGAGACCTTATACATTGATGGTTATAACTGATGTATGGACTTATCCTTGTCATATTATTTTCCTGTTGTTGGTTCCCTGTCTCTCTCCGTTTGACTGCTTTCCTGGCATGGTGTCTTCTTTCTATTGGTGTTCTTGGAATTGTGGTCTTTATTATCTCTTTCTAAAATATCCTTTAGAACATTTTGTAGAGCTAGTTTGGTGGTCATGAATTTCCTCAGTTGTCCTTGTCATGAAAGTATCTTATTTCTCCATCAATTTTGAAAGATAGTTTTACAGAATATTTCGATCGGGGTTGGAGCTTGTTTTCCTTCAAAACTTTAAATATTTCACTCCATGCTGTCTTGGACTTGTGGGTTTGTGTTTTTAGAAGTCTGCTGTGATTCTGATGGGCTTTCCTTTATAGGTGATTTGTTTCTTTCCTCTAACAGCTTTTAATATTCTGTTCTTTCATTGGACTTGTGGGATCTTAATTATTATATGCCTTGCTGTAGATTTATTTTGGCCATGGATGATTGGAGTTCTATATGCCTCACTTACTGATGTTAAATTATTTTTTCCCAGCTTGGGAAGTTTTCTCCCTTTACTTCCATGAACAGTTTTTTTTTTTTTTTATGTCATTTGGGCTGTCTCTTGCTTTTTAATTGATTACAATAAAACTCATGTTGTTGTTCTTTGCATCGTCTTGCAGCTGTTGGATTGATTTTTCATGGTCCCTTGCTATTTTTAAGAAATCTTTCTTTGTGTGATCATTAGCTGAAATCCTGTCTTCTAGATCTGATATTCTGTCATCACCTTGTTTCCATCAGCTGCATATACTTTCAATGGAATTTTTAATCTCCTGGATATCTGTTTTATTTTTTGTTTTGTTTTGTTTTGTTTTTCCAGTATCAGGAATCAAACTCATGACCTTGTGCTTGCCAGGCAGGCACTGTGCCAAAGAGCTAAATCCCCAGCCCCTGGATATCTGTTTTAATCTGTTTTATGGATTCCGTTTCTTTCCTATATTGGGCATTCATATTTTCCTTCATTTTCTTAAGCACTTCTATTTTTTTATCTGTGTCTACTCTAGAGTCACTGAGCCACTTCTTCATTTTGATCATCATCTCTTTTTTTACCTGAGAGATTATTTCTGATCTGATTTTCTCTATAGCCTCGTTCATCTGGATTTTTTACTTCTGCTATTACAATATCAGAAAATTCAGGTGAGTGGCTTTTGATTTTCTCTATCTTATCCCCTGGACTTGTCCTGGATGAGCTGGAGGTCTGGGGTTGCCTTTTACATTTGCGCCTTGTCATTTTCTATTTTTTTATTCTAATTTGTTTTCTGTGTTGATGCTTGTATTTGTTATGGTAGATAGCTTTATCACTAATCTTGAGGCTTCTTTAGGCAATGTCTATTCCTCAGAGATATCTTCTTGGTATAGCTGGCTCTTTGTCTTTGTGTCTGTCCCAAGATCTTACCTTTCCAGTTTATTAGGGACAAGACATTGCTACTTAGCTCAGCAACTCATCCTTTTGTACTGCACTATGGTCTTGCTTATGACCCCAGACAATCACAGTGTTTTCATACACTGTGAGAGAACAGCTAATTACAACAAGCATGACATCCTGGCTAAAGTAATACAGTTAGCAATAACAATATCATCAAGCACAGCCTAGAAACTGACAAACTGTGGTAACTGTTAATTTGGTACCTTTAATCATAGGAGCAAGATCTACAGTTATATAACAAAATCCAACGTAAACCAGGAACTTATATACAGTGAGTTTCCCTTTAGTAGAGTGATTTTACCCTCTAGGGGGGAAATTTAAGAGGGATAAAGGATGAAACAGAGACATCAATGAAGAGAAATGTAGTAGAAGCAAGACTGAAGGACAAAGAATGATCATCCAAGCTTTGTGAAACTGAAGAAGAGAACAGGAGAGAAAGAATGAAGGAGAAAGCAGAAGAATTTGAACCAAACCAGAAAGATGAGAGACATTCACTCACATGAAAATATAAAAAAAATCAAGAAAGATAGTTGAGGAAAGAGAGAAAAAAGGTAAGACAAAGCAAATAATAAAAGCAAAAAGTTAAACAAACAGAGAAAAACAGACAAAAAAGGATAATCAAACAACAAAGAAAAAAACAATAAAATCCTTCTAGTATCCACAGTTTTGTTGTAGTTTCCAAGTCAGAGCCCAAAACTGTGCTGGGTAATCCCCCTATGTATGCAATAAGATTAGTGCTGGGTTTGGGCTGATCTTGGCCTCTGGATGTGGGGGCTGGGGCCAGTCTTCAGCCAGCAACTTTCTGTATGTTCCTCGGTAGCCTTCCCACATCTCCTTACCCTGTTTGTCTCTGCCTGGCCCTCCCAGTTCCTGTGGCACCCTCAGACAGAGACAGTCTGAGGCTGCTCCCAGTCCTATGTACAATTGGTCCCTCCTGGTCCTTGAGTAACCTCTTCTTTTCCCCTCCCACTGGCATGTCTCTCTCCTCACATGCCACTAGTCACATGGGAAGAGGGGTCATCATGCTGTTCCACTCACTGCCTTCACCATCACTGCTGCAGTACCTGACCTTGTTGTCACTAAAGGTTCCAGTTAGCTTCTATGGTGCAAGACACAAAAGGAAAGAAAACTGGCAGCCAGTCAGAGAGGGAGCAGGTTCCTAGTCACTTGCTCCTATGTGTGCCAACAAAATTTGCTACCAGGTTACACAGTCCTCTGTATGAAGTCAGGCAAGAGAGACAAGGGATCATAGGAGGATATAAAGGATATATCCTTTATATCCCAAATCTATCCTGTGTGGCTTGAGTTTGCCACACTATTGCAGTCCATCAGTTTTGGGGAACTTCCCAGAATGGCATTTCCTGTTCCACACTCAGGCAGCAGTCCCACAGGCAGCCCGATTGGCTGCTTCACCTTTTTATAAAATCCTATGTCTATGTTTGGTTTGACCTACAAGTCTTTTATTTCAGATTGATTTTAACATCATGATGTATGTCCCTCCCTTTTTATCCAGTTACTTTGTTTTTAGTTGATTTTCTCTGAGTAGCTCAACATGCCTCCTTTTCTGTTCAACAGTGTTGAATCTTCTTCTTTTTTCTTTTTTAAATAAATGCTTCTTATCCTTGGACCTATACTTGAAATGGTTTTCCAGGTTGGAGGGTGTGAAAAAGGGCCAAATAGAGGAGCTGGAACTAAACAGAGACAAATTGATGCTTACATGTTGACTGACCAGAGAGACCCTTCTTTGTTCTGGAGTCCAAGCCTTTTGTGCCCGGAATGGCATAAGTTCTCCATCTGGCACAGGATTTCTCAAGTGACTCCCCACACCATCTTCCTATGGCTTCCAAAGCACCAGGACCCTAAAGCAGCTTCAGCCTGGTTCCTCTCCTGTCCTAGCTCTGCAAGACCAACTGTCCTGATCTCCACCCTCACCTGTGTGCCCTAGAGTCTGAAGAAAAGCCCTCCCTTGTAGAACATCCTGCAAAGGGAACTGAGTTCCACAAGATGCACTGAACACTGTTCAGCCACATTGTAAGAATGAAAAAAGGAACCCCAAAAAGACTTCTGCCTTAGCTAATTGTTGGTGTGTTATTCTCATTTTCTTCCCCTCTTGATTACAGGGAGAAAATCCATTACATTCGGACAGAGGGTAATCACGGACTTGAGAAGCTGTCCTGTGATGCAGACCTAGTCATTCTGCTGAGGTAAGGGGCTGTGCCTCACATAATGCCAGAGAATCCAAACTGGGCCATGCTGACCTACAGCCACCTTCCTGAGAGAAGCTGGGTGGAAACACCAGCCTTTGTTTATAGGAGATTCCAGTGTCTGGGACTGAAGTAGGGACTGTAGTCCTCATCACTGCTGACTATCATTGTCTTTGGATTCACAACAGGGACATGAAGAGCTCCACGAAATTCTTGATGGAGGATTTGTTGTCAGGGTAGTCAGAGATTATAAAACAGAACTCCCAAGTAGGATGTGCCTATTATACTACAACTAAATCAAATTACTTTTGTTGTTTGATTATAACTCTAACTGCTACTACCTGATTTGTGGGCTCTTTCTCAGGGAATAGAGAAATAACTCTTTTTTTTTCTTTAATTTTGCAGTCTCTTTGAAGAAGAGATCATGTCCTATGTACCCCTGCAGGCTTCCTTCCACCCTGGGTACAGCTTCTCTCCCCGCTGCTCACCCTGTTCCTCACCTCAGAACTCCCCAGGTAACCTGAGAATCTGGCCTGATACCTCATAAAAGTGGTTGTGCATGTGTGCATGTGTGTGTGCATGCACATGTGCACGTGTGTTTCCACCCGCAGAAGGGAATTCATGGGGAGCATATGTGTATCCTTTCTCTTTTGGTCTGTCTGAATTTCCTGATCAAAACTGCACTCTCTAAATTGACTGTTGAAGGCTGAGGATGTAGCTCAGTGGCACGGGACCTACCTGGCAAGCACAAGGTCATGAGTTCGATTCCCAGTATGAAAAAAAAAAAGAAAAAAGCCCATAAATTGACCATTGACAACTTGCTGCCTATTTTTATAATGCCCTAAGCTAGAAGAGGGTAACTTTTAAAAGTTAAGAAAAATTTTTAAACACAATGTTTCAAGACATATGGAAATGATAAGAAATTTTAGTGCCCATAAATAGTTTTATTGGAACCTGGTCATTTCTGAGCATGTATGAGTTTTCTGTGGCAGCTTTCATACTACCACAGTAGAGATGAGCAGCAGAAATCATGAGGCCTACAAAGTCTAGGCTATTTACTGTCTGGCTCTTTACAGAACAAGTTTGCATCCCCTGCTCTAAATCCCTATTGAATTTCAAAGGTACTCTCCAGACATTTCAAAGGAAGGGTGCTTCCTTAAACATTCACATAATGCCTCAGAATTCTCTTGGATACTAGTTCTGTTAACACATTACTGCAAACATTGTTACTTTTCTGTAGAGGGTTTTCTTGCACCAGGTGAAGTTGTTCCCCATATGATTTCATTATACATAATAATAAATTTATTCATGATAAAAAATTCTTTGCATATTCCAAATGAGAAAGTATATGCTGAGCTATTAGGTGAAAAATAGGCATATCCTAGAGTCAAGAAGATAGTTGCCTTATGTCAAATGTGTACACATAAATTGCTCCAAATGCTGGAGAGTTTCCCCCTTTTCACTGGGCTTACTTTATCCTATTATTGTGGGTTTCTATGATAAAACCAAGTTTCTCTTTGTAACTTTGAAAGTGACAGAGGGTTTGTTTGAAAAATCTAGAACTGGGGTCCAAGTTTGGCTTTTGAAGCCAGTAGGGAAATTAAGAAGAGGTATAGAATTTAGCAGCATGCTCTGTGTTTTGGAAGGACCCTCTCACTCAAAATTATTGCCCTAGGTCTCCAGAATCATAACATATTTTAGTTTGGTTCCTCCAAATTGTATCATTCAGACCTACCTTTTAAGAAAGTTTTATTAGTTGCTAAAATCTGCTTTTAAGATTGTTGTCACTTCCTCCAAACAAGTGTACCAATGACATTGTGAAAGAAATGTCCAGTGCATGCTACCACTGTGTATTAGTCAGATTTTCCACTGCTGGGACACAATACCCAACAACCACAGCTTAAAGGAAGACAGGTTTCATTTGACTCATGTTTTAAGGGAATTCAGTCCATTGTCAGCTGCATGAAAGCAGGAACATCATGTGGTAGGGTGTGATAGAGCAAAGATGTTTAGTTCATGGCTGCAGGGATGCAGAGCAGGGGAACAATGCATGCAGTAAGTGGTGGAAAATCAGATATAGTCCCCAAGATCACTCCTGCATGATCTACTCACCCAAATCTAAAAGTGTGTTCACTGATCCCCTCAGTGGACACCAAGCCAGTCAAGCTGGTAATCCACTTCAATTGTCATACTTTGACATACAACTTAGTATGTCAACCATTGCTTGTAAAAAACAAAGAGGACCAGGAGTTTTGTTAGAACTAGCAACAGCACAAACACTTCCAGTGTGCATAGGGAATCTCTGCTTAGAAAACAGAGCCTTCCACTTGGAAGAACTGCTGGTCTGTACAGTGACCTGTCATATTTTTGGAGGGATATCTGCTAATGAATCCACACTTGCTCCACAACTTCAGTCAAAGTTTAACACCATTATATTAGAGAGATATCATACTTTTAAGGGAAAAATAAAAAGGAGAGGAAGAGGTATTTGTTAAATGAAAATCACTTAGATACTTTAAAAATAAATGGGGGCTGGGGATTTAGCTCAGCGGCAAAAGCGCCTGCCTGGCAAGCACAAGGTCATGAGTTCGGTTCCCGGTACCGGAGAAAAACAAAACAAAACAAAAAAAACAAACAAATAAAAATAAATGAACTTTCCTGATAAAGACATTACCATAAATCTAAGTAATCATCCAATTCCTTTGTCAAAGTAGTTAAATTTTATTTTCCAATTTTGACCACAAGGTCCTAGATTACATAATTCAAATATTTTGGTGTTAAATTTTGCAACTCCCATTTTCTTTTTAAAAAAGTTTTATTGGTACATTTATATATATATATATGTATATATATATGTGTATATATATATGTATATATATAATAATAACACTTATCATAGGGGATTTGTACCTGTACATGATATATCTTGCTTCTTTTTTCCCATCCCCTCCCTTCAAACTCTCTTCCCCCTCCTTATTTACAAAAGCTTTGTTTCCATTTTTTCCTTCTATTTTTTCTTGTTCCTTCTTTCCTTTCCCCTTGCACTTTCCCTTATTATATTTCGCATTTGAATATTTTATCCCATTTTCCAATATATGTTGTACATTTTGGTTCTTATTTACACTTTTAGCTTCTCACATGAAAGAACAATAAAGAGAATAAGGATAGGAAAGGAAGAAGTGAAATTATCATTATTTGTGTATGACATGACACTACACAGAAGACCCCCAAAACTCCACTAAAAGACTGCTAGATTTAATAATTAAATCCAGTTGTGTAATTGGATACAAAGTCAACATTCAAAAATCGATGGCCTTCCAGTACACAAATGAAAAACTTGCTGAGAGAGGAATTAGGGAAACAGCACCTTTCAGAATATCTAGCAAAGGATGTAAAAGACCTATACATTGAGAACTACAGTACTCTGGAAAAGGAGCTTGAAGAGGATATCAGAAAATGGAAAGCTACCCCCTTGCTTTTGCATAGGAAGAACCAAAATAGTGAAAATGGCCATACTTCCAAAACTGTTGGGGATTTAATGCAATTCTGATCAAAATACAGCATATCTCACAGAATTAGAGAAAACAATCCTAAAATTCATTTGAACCAGAAGAGACCTAGAACAGCAAAGGCAATTCTTGGCTACAAAGGCAAGGCAGGAGATGTCACAATCCCCGACTTAATATTATGCTACAAAGCTATTGTGACTAAAAACAGTCTGGTACTAGCAAAAAACAAACAAACAAACAAAACAGACCAGTGGGTCAATGGAACAGATTAGAAGATGCAAAAACAACTCTAGACATACTCAGCCACCTTATCTTTGACAAAGATGCCAAACACATTAGCAGGAAAAAAGATAGCCTCTTTAATAAATTGTTCTGGAAAAATTGGGTTTGCACATGCCAAACATTAAAATTGGACCCATATCTAAACTAAATTCAAGATGGATCATAGACTTAAATATTAAAAGAGAAACATAAATCTGCTGGGAGATAGATTAGGTAAAACTCTTGAAGATGTTGATGTAGGCAATGTCTACAGAATTTATGAATAAAACGCTGATTGTACAGGAACTATCACAAAGAATCAACAACTGGGATCTCATCTTATTAAAAAGCTTTTGTACGGCAAGAGAAACCACCAACAGAGTGAAGAAACAACTTGCATTGTGAGAAAAAAAGTTTGCCTGCTCTTCCTCAAAGGATTACTCTTGAGAACATATAAAGAACTAAAAAACAAATATATCAGACCTCCCAAATTTAAAGACCCAATCCAAAAATGGGCTTCTGAGATGAATACACACTTCTCAGATGAAGAAATACAAACAGTAAATAAATATATGAAAAACTGTTTAACATCACTGGTCATTTGAGAGATACAAATTAACACTGAGATTCCATCTCAACCCAGAAAGAATGGCTATTATCAAGAAATCAACCAATAACAAATGCTGGAGGGGTTATGGGGGAAAAAAGAACCCTTCTCCACCTCTGGTGGGAGTGTAGACTGGTGCAGTCACTGTGGAAATCAGTGTGGAGATTCAGCCAAAAAAAAAACTAGGGTTGGAGGTCCCATTTGGCCCAGCTATTCCCCTGTGGGTATCTTCCAGAAAAATTAAAAACATCTTACCACAGTGATATATGTGCACCCATTGTTATAGCAGCACAATTTGTAATAGCTAAATCTTGGCAACAATGCAAATGCCCATCAACCAAGGAATGGATAAAAAAGATGTGGTCTTTTTATATAATGGAATACCACTCAGCCATAAAGAAGGATAAACTTGAGACTTTTGTACATAAATGGAGGCAACTTGAGACCATACTCATAAGTGAAATAAATCAGACTCACATGTGTAAACATCTCCCTAGTGTGAGAAATTAAAAGAGTAAATAAAGTCTAAAGTGTACAATAGATATTGTGAAATGAAAGAAATTGTTTAAAAGGAAAAAGGAACTAGGATGGGGTAAAGAGGAAAGAAAAGAAGGGAAAAGGGAGAAAAAGTGTGAGTTAGTTATACTATGTGTCTGTTAGTTCATTAAAAATGAAGGTTTGTGCTAATATCATTTGGAGAATTTTTTATGCACATATCTTGTACTCTGAGCAACTACTTTAAAGATGACAATATGCAATGTATTAACTATTGTTATTCTCTTTTTTGTGAAATTCTGTTTTACCTTTTTTCCATAAAACAAAAAAAAGAATATAAAAAAGAAAAGAGAAACTGGGGTGGGGGAAAGGAGAAAAGAAAGAAAGGAAAACAATATAGCTAGATAGGTGGATAGATAGATAGATAGATAGATAGATAGATAGATAGATAGATAGATGATAGATAGACAGTCAGGTGGGCAGATAGATACAAAATAGTTAAGATAGTTATACTACTAATTTGGACAGTTAAATGGCTATATCTTGTACTCTGAGTAGCTAATTTAAAGATAACAATACACAACATATTAACCATTGTTACTCTCCTATTGTTTCAAAATTTTATTTTTTCTCTTTAAAATAAATTTTTTTAAAAATGGGTGTGCATATATTACTGTGGTATGATGCTTTTAATTCTTATGGAAAGATACCAAGAAAAAGAACAGCTGGGTGGATTGGAACCTCTAGTTTTAGTTTTTTGCGGAATGTCCACACTGATTTCCACAGTGCTTGCACCAGTGTACATTCTCACCAACAGTGCAGAAAGGATCCTTTTTCCCACAGCCCCACCAGGATTTGTTATTGGTTGATTTCTTGATGATAGCCATTCTTTGTGGAGTAAGATGGAATCTCGGCATTGTTTTAATTTGCATCTCTCAAATGACCAGTGATGTTGAACATTTTTTCATATATTGTCATTTCTATTTCCTTTAGTATGATTTGGGGGTATGATTTTTCTGAGTTGTTTATATGCTCTGGATGTTTTGTCTGAGGAGTAGGTTACCAAAAAAATTTTCCCACTCTGTGAGCTGTGTCTTCACTCTGTTGATTTCTTTTGCTATGCAAAAGTTCTTTAATATGAGGAGATCCCATTTGTTGATTTTTATATTTTCTGTGTGATCAGAGTTTTATTCATAAAGTCTTTGCTTACACCTTTGTCTTCAAGAGTTCTGCCTATTCTGTCTTCCAGCAGATTTAGTGTTTCTGTTTTAATATTTAGATCTTTGATCCATTTCAATTTTATTTTTGTCCATAGTGAAAAATATGGATCTAGTTTTAATCTTTCACATGTGCAAAGCTGGGTTTTCCAGCACCATTTATTAAAGAGGCTATCTTTCTTCCAGTGAAGGTGTTTGGCCTCATTGTCAAAATAAGGTGGCTGAATGTATTTTGAGTTGTTACGTCATCTTCTAATCTGTTCCATTGGTCCTTCGGTCTGTTTTTTTGTTTGTTTGTTTGGTTTGGTTTTTGGCAGTACCACGCTATTTTTATCTCCGTACTTCTTTGTATATGGTGACTGTTGGTCCCTAACCACCCCAGGCATTGGTAGCTCCCAGGTGGGGCCTGGGTCCTCCATGCTTTTTTACCTACACCACTCAGCTGAATCTCCTCTGCCCATCTCTCCTAGCTGTTATCTACCAAGCCTTCTCATTCTTAAAGTAATGATGCTTATTTCATAATTTTGCTTTCCTTCCCAAGTTATGTCATCATCTTAGATGACTTCAACATTCACGGGGCACCTGGTCTCCCAGAGTATGGACCACCATAGCTATAATGACCTTCTAATCCACCTCAACCCCTTGTCTCCACAGTTACACTCCTGACCTTGCTATCTCTAAAATTGCCAATTCAAGAATCTTCTTCTTTTTTGACTTGCTTGTTAAGCTGTTCTCCTATGCTTTGGTTTCATCAGAACCTCCAGTTCTTGGAATTCTCTGCTTTCCTTTCTTCTGTCTCTGTGGTTCATTGTTTCAGTAACACCCTCATCCATGCCCTGAGCTCTGCTGGTTCCCCCCATTTTGTCTGTATCCTCTGGTAGAGCTCCACCACTAGGCAAGCGTTCCTCTCTGCTTTATGTGTATCTACAGTCAGACACTGCTATAGTTTAAGTCTATCGTGGCCCTCAAAAGGCTCATTTGTGCAGAGGTGGGTGCTTTTGGAAGGTGAATGGATTATAGGGTACTGTACTCATTAGGGGATTAATCTGTAGCTGAATGTGCTGTTGGAAGGTAGGGGTCTCTTCAGAAGAGGTGGATCGGTGGGGGAATGACCTGGAAGGTTGCATCTCCCTCCCTGGCTTCTCCCTTCTCTCTCAGCTTCCTGGCCACCATAATGTGAGCAGTTCTTCTCTGCCATTCTCTTCCTCCATGACATTTCTGCCTTAGAGCCAGCTGACTTGGGACTGAATCCTCTAAAAACTGTGAGCAAAGACAAACCTCTCATTTAAATCATAGGTATTGGATAGTCTGTCTCAGCAACAAGTATATGACTAAGACAGACGTTCTTGGGAAAATTCACTTGGGCAGATAATTGATTATAAATCATTAATCATCCCGCTCCACATGAACCTTTAGCATCTGAAGGAAAATCCTAGCATATTTCTTTAGGCTTCTCTACTACTATTTCAAACATTTCCACTTGCTCCGAGCATGCCCTCTTCTCTCCTAGCAAATTGCATTCCTATTTACTTCACTGAGAAAATCAGTCATCCAGCAGAACCCTTCTCAAATGCCTGGTTGTTTGTCCTCTGTCCCCTATCTTAGTGAATATTACCTCAGTTCATTCAGTTACAAACTCTGAAGCCTACAAGACTGCCAGACTTGTATTCATCTCACCTTCCCCAGTGCCCATCCATGAGAGGAAGCATCTTCACCAAGCTCACCAGGACCTCTGGTCACCGGCTCTCTTGTGCAGTTCTTGACCCACCCAGCCCTCTGATCTCTCATTGCCTTTTCATATTACTGACTGCTGTCCCCTCAAGTCACCTCTTCAGCTGGCTTCAGTGACCCCGCTCCAGGCATGGCATCTTCTCTGGTAACTCTTGCCACCTCTCCCTTCTCTTCCTGTGACTCTCAAGCCTCACTCTCAGGTTTTTGTTTCATTTTCTTCTGTACTCCTTCAAATTATGTCCCTGAGATCAGTCTAAGAACAAACTCATGATCTTCCCACAGAAACTGGTTGTTTGTCCTCTGTCCCCTATCTTAGTGAATATTACCTCAGTTCATTCAGTTACAAACTCTGAAACATACCTCTCCTTCACTCCTTGTATCCAGTTGATTGCTTCCTAACTAGCTTCCAGTCTGTTCCCCTCCCTTCCCCTCATCTTAATTGCATCAGCACCAGACTTGTTCAGTATGACCTATCTACGTGTCCCCTGGTTCTCTCCAGTCTTTTCTGTCTATAATAGGAGTCACATCATCCCAGCTCTCCTGCAGTGGCTTCCATTGCTAATTACAATTAGCAGGACACAAAATTACTTCACAAATATAGCTTACCCTGTTTGGTGTAGTTCCTGCCCGCCTCTCAGAACTGTTTATCATCTTGTCCTCATCCTCTGAGCTCCATATAAACTAGAGCATTGCTTTCCATTTGCTCACAGGATCCTCGCACATGTTCTAATCTTCTCTCTAAATTATTCTTCTCCCAGCTCTTTTCTTAGTTAAAGGAAAACTTATCTGAACCATTCTATCTGTGTATATAGCCACTTCTTTGTTTTTCCCCAGGGAATGGTTCCTGGGCTTGGCCAGCAGGTTCCATGTTCTCAAAGAACTGCATTCCTTTCCTTCATAGGGTAGCAAGCTTCTTGACCTGTAACAATATACTCATTTGTGTGCCTTTACTAATGTAAGTCTTCTTCAGAATGTAAGCTGAAGAAGTGTCTGGAATACTCAGTAAGCAACGAATAAGTAGCCGTTGAATAGGCGAACCATGATTTTGGCCATCTGCAAAACTTGTGAATGCTACTTTTTCCATTTCTCTTTTTACTACAAGATGTACAAAGGTAGTGCAGCATTTTCTAAGTGCTCTCTATACAGTCAATGAAGTATTTTTGTTGTTATTGTTATAAATTTTGCTCTGATGATGCACGATAATCTATGTTCCTAACTGCTCTGAGCCCTGGTGCACAGATATGTTTCTCTGAGAATCAACATTAATGTAGAAACACGAAAAACATATGTTAAAATGCCTTTGTCTCCTTACAGTTTCAACCACTTCTTAGAGTATAACAACTTACAAGAAAAGTGTAGTCTAGTTCAGTTCTATTAACTGTCTCAGATTGTCTAAACACAATTAAGCCAAAAAATGTGCATCAGGATCCTTTTAATAGAAATACATTTTGAAATAATTGGAGTGGAAGACATAGATTATTTATTCCCATCAGAATGCACTTTTTCTCTTTACTATGTTACTTCTGTAATAGAAAAGTAAGGGAGGAAGTCATGGAAATAGAGGCTTCTTAGAGAAAGCTGGAAGCTGCAGGAACCTGTCTCTGTCAGGCTCCGGGTCCACCTTTGCTGTGAGTATTTGTCCTTGGATAGAAAGTTAATGACCTGTGGGCCTATGTGCTTCTTTCTGCAGGTTTACAGAGAGCCAGCGCAAGAGCCCCTTCACCGTATCGGAGAGACTTTGAGGCCAAGCTCCGCAACTTCTACCGAAAACTAGAAGCCAAAGGATTTGGGCAGGGTCCAGGGAAAATTAAGTGAGTGCTTCAGTGCTTGACACTGAACTGAAAGTGGAGACTCTTCTATCTCATCATCCTTTACATCTGTGTCATACCTTTTGGATATTGGATACCTTGGTGTGATAGCCATTATGGTATAAAGGGAGGAAAGAAGGAAGCTGGGAAATTGGAAGGAAGGATAAAAGGAATTAAGAAATTGGAAGAGAAGGAGAATGGAAAGAGGAAAATAAAGGAAAGAGGAAGAATACTAGAATTTAGAATAAGTCTCATATAGCATCAATAGTGACTTTTTCAGAAAACAAAGAAGTTTATACTGAATAAAAAAAAACCTTGCATATTTCCTTTTACTTACTCTTAGACAAAATTTAACTTTAGTCAAATTCATGGACATGTAACTTGGCAGCTGAAGCTCAAGTACAAAAGTGTCTTAAAAAATTTTCTCTCTGGCTCTACTATTTTTATTTTAAAAAAAACTGAGCCCATATTTAAGAAACCAACTTGAGAGACTACCTAGGGTATGGGGTGCACACACCTGTAAGCACTCTGGAGGCACTCTGGAAAGCTGAGGCAGGAGAATACAAGTTGAAGCCCAGACTGGGCAACTTAGCAACTTAGTGAGATCCTGTCTCCAAAACAAAGAGGAAGGAGTTAAAGATATAGCTTAGTGTAAAGGCCCTGGGTTTAATTCCCAGTAGCACACACAAAAAGAAGATATCCTAGAAACTGATCAAAATCAAAAAGAATCTTAAAGTAGTCCAGTGCGGTGGAATATATCCACTGGTAAGCGTACCTGTTTTCCTCATCTGCTAATGTTTTGAAAAGTGTTAAGTCATCAGCTTGGGGGACTGTGCCTCGCCCTTTCCTCTCTTGCTGGGCAGGCCATGGAGGGGGACCATAAAGCTGGGTGCTCACAACTCACATGCAAACACTGTCTGGCATCTGCACTACAGAGCCGTGGCTCACTGACACTTCTCTACTTCTCAGGCTCATTATTCGCCGGGACCACTTGTTGGAAGGAACCTTTAACCAGGTGATGGCCTATTCCCGCAAGGAGCTCCAGAGGAACAAACTCTATGTCACCTTTGTTGGAGAGGAGGGGTGAGGCACCAGAAATCTTACGCACACACCTCAGTTTGAGCAGATCAAAGCCCCAGGATCAGGGTGCTTTTTTTCGAGAAAAAAGAGGGTATCTATGAGCCTGGGTCTCACGGTGATTCTGATCATATCCTCCCAGAAGATCTTTCTCTGTCCAGGTGTCACCAAGCTTTAGATGCCACATTCTTTAAAATCCTAAATTATTGGCATTCCAGAATCTGACATTACTTGATCAAAGTATAAGCCAAAAATAGTCTTAAATCACTGTCTCTTTACTTTGTAGCTGGTGAACCCTTCTGAGTATCTGATCAAAAAAACTCCTCTTTTGAACGTGCACAAATATAACTCCATACCAATCCTTTCATGTACTTCCTGTGATTTCGTGGAAATCACTTACAAGTGGAGGGCAGGCCCACCTAGCAGTGGGTATCAGAACATACTTGAAGCTCTTCTGGTTCACCGTGTACACACGCACACACAGATGCACACAGCTACAGGAAATTCTTTCATGCCTCTCACAGCAAAGGCCTTGTTGGTAATGGGCCAGCTGTGAGTTTTATCCCTTGGGTTTTAAAGGACTGGGAAAACAGATTAAGGACCATTGCCATGAGAGTTCTATCATGGACATCCGGTTAACTCTTCAGATCAATAACTGCAACCTTATGTTCCACCATGAATTGGCATCTCCATTTGGGATCTATTCTAAAGGCAAGGATTGCCCTCTGCTTTCCCCCATGCCGTTGACTCTGAAAGGGCTTGCTAGAATCTGGATAAGAGACTGTCCCTTCACTTGTGGACACAAAATGAGCTTCCTGGACCTGTTCTTCCTTTGTAGCCTGGACTACAGCGGGCCTTCTCGAGAGTTCTTCTTCCTTTTGTCTCAGGAGCTCTTCAACCCCTACTACGGACTCTTTGAGTACTCTGCGAATGATACTTACACGGTGCAGATCAGCCCCATGTCAGCATTTGTAGAAAACCATCTTGAATGGTAAGATTTATAATGTTCACTTTCTTGTGTTTGAGAGTTTTTGTCTTTCTTTAGAAGTCAGCAGTATTTCTCTAAGGTCGCTCTTTCTAGAGCAGTCGGCTGGACATTATGAGAGGGAATGGAAGTGAATAACAGAAGCCTAGAAGAAAGAACAGGTTATTCTTCACCCAGGACACAAGATAAATTACTAAAGACGCCGATAACATAACAATGGAAGACTGATGTATGATAGAATAGTTGCTTCCTGAGGATGTACTAAGAATTTAAAGATGTGAGTCATGAGTGTTGCTAATTTTACTAAAATCATAAGAGTTTCCAGTGGAGGCTTCTCAGAAGTATCTGGGTCTGAAATTTCTCTGATGTTGGACCCATAGGTTTAGTATCAGCTTACATTTTGAAAAATAAATCTGTTGGACTAGGTTATCTCCTAGCACCATTACAAACTGAAAATCCATTATATCTTTGGTTGTCAGCTGTTGAGACTGAGGGGCAGATGTCTGAAGATAGGTAGCAGCCAATTCTGCATGGGTTGTGGACAAGATACCTTCAGTGTAGGTCCTAGACATCTCTTGAAAGCTGCAAGGGACCTCTAGGATGCATTCACAGTGCCGCTGCCTCCCTACCACACCTAATTTGAAAATGACTCCTCATTTGAAAATGACCCCTCAATGTAAGAGTTCCTGCTATTGAAGGGAAGTGAATCCTGGAGATGGCTGATATAGGTCTTTTCTGACATAGTTTATTTATGCTGCTGTGGAAGGGACTCAGTGGAGTGACACCAGGGCCTGCTGGGTTTACAGCCCAAGTCCCTAAGTTTTGTCAACTTAGTATAAAATTATTTACCTAGGACTTCCAGATGATGGCACATGTCCTCTGTCTTCAGGCACACTCTCAGTTTTGAAGCTCCTGAACTAGAATGTGTCCACATCAAGTGGCTAGCACAAGGTGAAACAAAACTTGCCCTTTGTCCCTATGGCTTGTCCTATAACTTGCCAATAAGCACATGTGGAAGTCTGTGAAACAAAAAAACACAGGCAGGGCAGGTGGACAAGGCAAGTCATTTCAGAAGGGATCGATAGATCTTGACTACCACCTGTCAGCTGGCTCCTGCTCAGACTGACTCCATTCCAATACTAGAGCACATCCTAACCCATGACACAATAATATATGTATACACGGGTAGTACGTAATATAATCCTTCAACTCTCTCTCATTTCATGAGCATAAAATTTAAGACAGTATCTTGGAAGTTATGAACCAAGTCAGTACTCAAAAAAGAAGTATTTTCATCAAATCTTTAGCCCTACCTTATGGGCCTGTGCTACATGTTTCAACAAAAGGCCACTAATAAAGCAACTATAAGTTAAGCACATACTAGGTGTTGGGAGTATACAGAGATGCAATGAATAGGATCCTTTCATTTAAGAAGGAGCAGTAGGAGGAGCACAAACCAACAACTACAATGTCTTAAATGCTAAGTTATGTACACATATATACAGGTGTGTTAGCCTGAGATGCTTATATTATACAAATGCTCATCAACTTGCAACGGGGTTGCATTCCAATAAATCCATCACAAATAGAACATATTATAAGTAAAAAATGCAGTTACTATACCTAACCTACTGAGCATCATAGCTTAGCAACACAAGACATTGTAGAGTATCACTTGCTCACCTGCAGAGTCCCACACGAATGACTGGAAGCTACACTCCACCCAACATGGAGAGAAATTCCTACTACTTGAAACCACTAGTCCAGAAAAAGATCCAAATTCAGAGTATGACTTCTACTGAATGTATGTCACATAAAATCAGAAAAATCATAAGTCAAACCACCATGAATTGGGGAACATCTGTATACACCAAATTGTATTCCATCACAAGGGAAAATCTGTCTTTCCTTCCCAGTAGGCTGCATAAAGGGAAACCTATGAATTTTACAGAAAGAGGATTGTGGGAGAGAAATGAGTTAGGAGACAGAGGTGGGGATCAGAAGGTTGTGTGCTGTCTGGAGAATACTATTAAAATGACATCTGTGTTTTAAAACAGCAAATCTTATCAGAACATGGAGGATAAGTTTGAGGAGATAAGACTGGAAAGAGCAGAGCAGCTCTGAAACAATTGATCTTCCAGTGAGAGAAAGAAAAGATCAGAGAGTAGGCAGAGGCTGCGATGACAAGAGAAAGTGACTGACTCCAAGGAGAAAACATGGAGATAGTTCACTGACTTCTGGAAGTGAGGAGAGAGAGAGAAATATGGGATCAGTTCAAGAGTAGGGTTTTGAGTTGCACAATTCATAGTGTTAACTGTGGAAGAATTATGGGACGTAGAAGATATTCAGAGGAGAACTGCAGCATTCACTCTGCCTTGCAGAGCTTGCATATTGTGGGAGTGATAAATATTACATGTTTGTACTAATCAGAATGATAGCCCTGGTTAGGGGGACAGCAACCTGGCTGGGAAAGGAAATTTGGGAAGGCACCAGCACAGATGAATGGCTCAGCTGTGGAACATGAGTGCATTTGGAGCTTGTGCAGATGAAGAACAGCGCTAGGGCCCATAGAATGGACAGCACTGATGTGCTGGGACAGGGAAGGGAGAGTAGAAAGGTCTCCTTAGGGGTGGCCCGAGTTCAGGAAGTGAAGGGGACCAGAGGGACAGGAGGGATCAGTACTGGGTGAGGGTAGAATTCAGGCTGAGAAATCACAAGCCAGAGGGTGTGAGCAGGCAGCAGAAGGGGGACTTCAAAGGCAAAGAGTGGAGAGCATGTGGCTGAAAACCTTGAGCCAATAAATGTTCAAAGGACAGGCAAGCAAAGGAGCTGCATAGTGGCCGAGGGGAGCAGGGACAATGGCCATGGTGGAGGACTGGGGCTCCACATTCTAAGGAAACACCAGAGTTGAGAACGTGTCACTGTGGCCACGTGTGAAGGCCAAAGGGAAGCATGGAAGACACGCTGGAGTTGTGAGAGCAGCGCACCCGGTCCCCCACACACAAGCTGGCTTTGTCACCTTGCCCTCATCCCTGAATTAAGAAGCTCTGTGGAAGTGACAGTCATGCTTTATTGCACCAAAGAAGAAAACTCTGTGAGTCAGGGGTGTTGTAAGAATTAGCATATTCCCTCGAGGGATCTTCTTCCCCTCAGAAGTCCTCTGTTGCTGGAGGACTTGGCCTCACACACAGGCCGGCTGACTTCTACACACCAACATTCCCACTCATGTTGAGAGTGTCTGCTCTGGATCCTGGAGTCAGAATGGCAGGTGGCCTTTTGAATCCACCAGCAATCTAAGTGGAGCGCAGGGCGATTGCAGCCCTCTTTTCGGCACTCTCATAAGGTTATGAGCTGTCATGAAGTGGGCCACACAGGGCCACCCCTCTCATTTGAGGCTCTGACTCTGAGCACATGAGTCCCCAGAGTCCTTAGCTGAAGGAGAGCACTCTACACACCTCCCAATGAAGCTATGAAAGTGTGTCACGAACTCCATGTGGAGTTGAACTGTTCTGTCAGTGCCTCAGAGTGCCTGAGAGGGAAATAGACTTTCTCTCTAGTCACAATGTCTTAGTTACTTTTCTCTTGTTGCTGAGACAGAACACCCAACACTCCCGGTTAAAAGAGGAAAGGTTTATTTCACTCACAGATTGTCGAGGTTTCAGTCCATAATCAGCTGGCTCCAAGGTAGGGTGGCTTGGCAGAGAGGCATTATAGAGAACAGTTCATGGTACCCACAGGATAGCATAAGTGACACAGGAAGAGGGGAACCAAGCCTCTTTGTATTGTATTGTATCCAGTCTACTGGGATTAGGATGGTGCCAGTCCAATCAGTGGACTGATCCAGCCATCACCCACCCTTAATCCTAGCATGGCACCATGAATCAGTCACACGCTCTGGATTCAGAATATTTTCACCTCTGAAAAAGCCCTATCTAAGACTGCATGAGGCTTTGGAGGGACATCTAGACACAAATCATAATACACGGCCAGACTCAGTGACTTGAGACACCTGCATAGACCCTTCTTTAGCTTTGAACAGTATCTTAGTCACTTCCTCGTCACTGGGACACAATACTCAACACCTATAATTTAAAGGAGATGAGGTTTATTTTTCCTCAAGGTTTCGGTCCAAGATTGGCTGGCTCCAAAGCAGAAACAGCATGGCGGAGGAAAAGGCACTTAACCCATCGCAGCGGGAAGGCTGAGACGGAAGGGAGGAGCCAGGGAGAAGAACTCACCCTTCCAGGTCACACCCCAGGGATCACCTCACCCAGGCCCCACCCCCTAACAGCACACTCAGCTCTGAACTACTCATCCATGAATGACACTGATGAGTATAGCGTCCCCATGGCCCAAGCACCTTCCACACACATGAGAATTTGTGGGGATGTTTTAGACCTAAACAGGAAGCCCATGTTGGGCTTTGAGGACTTTTTAACAAAACCAAGAGATTAGAGTTATTCCTGCCTTCCTGCTATAAGTCATTCTGTGCCAAATGAATTAACAGGAAATCACAGGGGTTGCATTTCCTGTGGCCCCAACTCTCCCAGTCCTGCATTTAGTGAAAGGCAGGTGATTAGGATAGCTCAGATCTGAAAGAAGTGGCTCTGGGTGTTGCACAAAACCAGGATGCACACAGTGCCGAGAAATAATGCCCTCAGCAAGTATGTGCAGCAGCAGCTGCCTGGAGACCTGTCACTGTCACTCATGCTGCCAGGAAGTCCATGACACTGACAAGACCAGAATCCTGAGATTTAAATCTGATTGCCCAGGATTCATTGCCCCTGGGGGCCGCTTAGCCTCCAGTAGGTTGGACATGGGTGCCACCCTCCTTCCTTCCTCACTCTACAGGCATTCATCACCTGGGCCATGGGGAAGATGACAACTATCATAACCTGTCCGTCACTCATAAGGAAACATAAAAGCCAAAAATTATAGGGTTTGTCACAAGGGCGGCCCTCACCGAGTAAAGCTGGAGATTGTCCCTTGACACAGGACAACCCAGA